AATCCCAGTGCTCAATGCTGCTGCAACAGATGGTCCCAGTACAAAAAGGCGGCCATCAACCCTTCGGATTCTCACTCGGTCCTGGCAGGTTCCCTGCTCACAGGCCTGCTACCGGACGATTTATCGGTAATCCAGAAGGAATATCACTCCACCTTGAAGTTTGGCCTTCACCAATGGACCAAACGCAACGGACTTCCGTCGATGCCTTCCAACATCATTTCCGATCTTGCTCAGTCCCTGTGGCAACAACACATCTAAGAAGTCACCTGCCACATCACGAAGTCGTCCATTGCAGACTTCCAACGCTTGTTCGAAGAGGCTGTCTTCCACTGTGAAGACAAACAAGCTTCCTCTCTGCGGATCTTTTGCCCATGCCTCTACTTCCAAGCGATCGAAGCTACATGGATGCTTCAATCTTTGAAGCCATTCCTCAAGCACCTCAAGAAATTGTGACATCGCTGGTCCCAGCACTCCATCGCCAATATGGCCGGTCATATCCTTGGGCCATTGGAAAAGGTCGTCAACTCCCAGCGGGCTATATCTTGGCCAAAAAGAAGAAATCGTTCCAGAGTGGACGATCGGACGACCCGTCATTTCGTTTGTGGACTCGCCATTCCGTCCGATGCTCAACATTTTGGCTAGATTAATCTTCCAACTCATCCCGGTGGCATGCCCAGACCACTTTGCGTCAGGAGATGTCTACACCCTCCTCACCATCTTGCAAACAGCTCCGGTCGATGGAGATCTTATTCTCATCAACCAAGACTTGGCTGGCTTCTTTACCAGCATCGACCAAGCACGATTCATTGGTGCTTGGCACATGCTCCTCGACTTCCTTAGTCCCCACGGGAACGTGGGAGAAAATGAGGTCTTCTCAGTCTACCCTGGAAAATCCAACAACCCAGGAGACCTCATCAAGGGTCGCACATTTCGACGGCTCAATGTCACTCGGAAGATCGGCATCAAAGATGTACCATCCCTTATCAAGACTGCGCTTGACATGCAAACGTTCGCACTGGGCAACCGTTGCATACGTCAACGCCGAGGCAGTCCGATGGGCAGTCCACTCTCTCCAGCCTTATGTCTGATGGTTGTCTCCATCAGCGAACAGATTTGGTCAATCAGCTTCAAGCAGGTATTGACCAATCATAATTTGTTCATCAAACATTTTTTGCTATGTTGATAACCGACTCATCTTTGGCGATGCCCGTCTCCAAGATCTTCCACCATATGACGTCCTTCTTGATGAAGGTTTCTATGGGAAACCCATCATTCTTGAGACTGAACCTGACCAAGAATTCCTCGGCTTCATGTTGGAAACAAAACCTCTCGAGCTGATCTACTGCGGAACCACCAACATTTCTCAGGTCCTCTCTCCGGTTTCAGCTTCTCCACCCAAAGTCCTTCTTAAGTGGCTCTCGTTCTAGATGCCACATCGTGGTCAAAGGAGCCTTCCCTGAATATCGTGTTCAACAAGGACTCGATCAACTGATCCACCTGTACACTTTGGCAGGCTTTTCGGGTGAAGAACTTACTGGTATCTCTTCACGAATTTTGGATCTTCATCGCAACAGTGAAAAAGACACGTCCGGATGCTTTTGGCTGCGTAATTTAGGGTTTCCTTTTTTGTCTCTTGTTTGTCTTGGTGGTTTCTTCCCCTCTTTGTTGCTTTAATTCTTGGCTCAAACCTGCTTCCCTTAATTTCTTGCTCCCACGTGCACAATGGACCCCTCTTGGTTGTCCAACAGCCGTGAAATCCACTATCATTTGGCCAGAGCCATTGCGCATTGCCGGATTCTTACCATTCTTTGAACCAACGGTGGACTGGGAGATCAATGATTCGGATCTACTACGACGGGCACAACCGTATCCTCTCCCAGGCCAACATCACACTCATCCTGGCCACTGGCACATCCAACTCTTGTGTCACATGGGGGTATTCCATCACACATGATTGTGAACCCGGAGCCCCACATTCGTCCCCTGTCCATCCGTCCACCTGACGGTAGCCACCCTTCAAACAATGCCAGGACGAGATCCAACCGTGGAGAATCCTCCAATCCGGCAAGCTTACCAGTTCACTCATCATCCATCAGTGGACCTACGGATCCGGGAGTCGAAAATCCCCCGCCCAATCCTGAATCTCGTCCCAAGAAGAAACAACGAATTCATGTCACAATATCCGAATCTCATAGTCACAATATCCGAGTCTCATAGAGCAACCACCACCGCCCCACGCGTGGTGGTCACCCAACTGATGTCCCAACAACGGATGAGTCTGATTCCGGACATCGTAGCCGTGTGTCCAATCCCAGAATCAGACCACCTCCTTTGGCGGTGGTAAATTCTGCAGCTTCCGCCTCCATCTCCATCTCCGGAATATCCTCGTGGTGAAGAACCATCCCGGGTCACCGTCACTGACCCTGCCATGTCAACCATCAATCATGGACTTCGTCCATGGACGGGCAGTGAAAACCACGAGCTGATCAGCCAGAAGAGTGACGCCAGAGCACGGCCCGCATGGGAGACAATTGGACAACGACTCAAACGCACTCCAGGCTCATGCCGGGCACGTTGGCTTTGGTTAAAACAAACCATGCCGGAGTTGAGTTCCCGTACTGAACCAGAGGCAGAAAACTAAAATGTCACTAGGTCGATTTGGCTTCGCCGAGATTAAACAATTTGTCCCTGCCTTCTTGGTTTCCCGGTTCCCTCACGCTTGATTTTCACTTTTCGTGGATCACTTCTCCTTGTTACGGCTGTACGTGCTTTACTGTTCTTGATGTGTTTCCTCTGCTTCGCTCAAGGGCTCAATTCGCATTAGCCTTTCGGTATCATGTCCCGTCCTCGTTCCCGCTCCGGTGACACTCATGATCATGGTCCTATGTGGGGCCATCCTGAACCTGACCGTCCCCATGATCCCAGCCGTACTTGGGTTTGGAACTACACACCGGCCCTGCGCTGCATCCGCAAAGTACTCAAACTGGTTGACATCATTCAGATTCGTCATCTGATGGAAGAACACTTTTCTGATGCTATGACAATGACTGTCACCAGATGTTTGACTCTACCTGACCTTCGCGATCCTGGAGAGGTGGCCATGTTCACCTATTCCGGCCTTCGCAATCCTAGCCAACTCCAAACGACAACGGTTGGGGAATTACTCGGGCATCAGTCAATATATCTTCAACACCTGGGGGGTTCCTCATCGACCCCGATGAAATGGATCTTCGATGGAGTGATCCTACTGGCGACATCTTTGCTCTATGAAATCCTCACACCATCAGTCGCCTACTACAAGAAAACCGCCCAAACTGGGCCCAGGCACAAGAAGTAGGGTTCTTTGGCTCAGCATTATCGTTCACTAGTCCAACACAGCCATACATCATGCGCATGAGTTGTCATAAGGCTTTACCACCCAATTACCTGCCGTGACCGCTCCTTTCAGCAAAATAGACAAGGAGTGCTGCTGCGTAGCTGTGATCACAATTTACAGGTTACTAGGTCGTCTATTGCTGATTGCTACTGACGGTTTCTTGACCCTCTGCTGTTAGGGATCACATGGTTGCCTCTTGACTACTACCTCCTCTTCCGTGTCCCAACCTTTTTAGCTCTCAATATGACAAAAAGTGACTCATCGATGGCCAACCTGGCTTTACCTCGCTTTCTCCGCATGGATGCTTGGTCGACTCCGTTGTCAACTACACGCCATCCATCATCATCTGGGTTTGGCCCTTCCCTGCCAGGACAGTCTGCAGGCCCAACTGGCTCTGCCAATCCGGGATACGGATATACGCCCTCGATGGAATCCGTTCCCATGCCAATGAGTGGTGACTCGTGGAACTCGTCCTTTCCACACAATCCATTCACAAGTGATCTCCATCCAAGCCAATGAGTGGTGCATACCCAGGTGTTCAAACTGATTGATGTGGACGAAGGCCCGATCAGGCGATCACAACTCTGGATCTCCGAGGCCGATTCACAATGGACGTGAACGCCTTCGTCGACCGGACATTTTCTTCCATGGAATTGTGGGTCATGTGAAGGATTCAAGTGGGGCTACTCAATGGATGGCGTGAAGCCTCCAGAATTGCCAACTACTGGCGCCGCTACTTCCATATTGAAGAAGTTCCGTACACCTCATCAGACTGAGCCGCATGAGCAACAGGAGAACATCCCTGAACACTCAGCGGGTGATGAGCCAGTCGATGACGATGCGGATGATACCTCCAACATAGGATGAGGACGACCAGACCATTACGTGATCAGGTTTCAAAATTCTGTGTGCAGCAACCACTTGTATGTTTGTCTCTGGCATTTTGGTCAATTGATCCGAACCCAGCTGACCGAAATCTTCACGTGCATCCGTCATGCTTCTTCCACAAAAGCCCCGTGGCAGCGGGGCGTTTGTGTGAACCACCTGAAGAAATGTAAAACTTCTTACCTTTGTCTAACATTTAGTTTTTGCGGGGGCGTCAGGCCCGTCATACCTACCTGATGCAACGAAGCTATGGTATGATGGGGGAAGGGTGAACTGATCATTCACCTGTACCTGCAGATCTTGGCATGGATGTCGTGGACATAGCTTGCAAAATCACTTTGACAATCTCATCTATATTCTGTGATATGGCAACCAGCTAAGCCAAGCACCGGCATGTCGATCATTCGGTTTCCAGATGTTTCCAGTTTTCATTGCACTGTTGTCGCAATCTGTTTTCCTTTTTTGAAATCAAAGGGAAGAGTCACCTTCCAATCCTCTGTTCCTCGTCGTTTCTGGTCAGGTGTAATTGGATTGTTTTTGCACGTAAGGTGCATTCCACAACAGAATTCGCAATGACAGTTCTGAGCAAGTGTGTATGTGTATATATATATATATATGTGTGTGTGGATTCTACATAAAAAATATAAAAATCATCTGAAAAGGATTAGAAGCATGGCCCCCAAATTTGGACCCTCCTTGGTGGAAAGACATCAAAATTCATCAAAAACTAATCTGTTCTCTAGATCCTGGCAAGTATGAAGCTTGCAAACATACGCAGACATTTGGACATTTGTTTGTTGGCACCGATTGGCTTTGCACTCCTCTTTTCCGATACTGACAATTCAGCGCTCGAGTTTGATGAGTTCCACAAAGATCTTTGGAGCGATGATGGCGAGGCTTCGTTAGAGGCTTCATTCCAAACCAGATTGCAGTATTCCTCCCACATGTCAGACATCTCTGGCCGGACGCAATAGAGCCTCAACCCTCTATGGTGCCGTTCCTTCACAGTCTTCTCCAATGTAATTCTGCGAGGTTTCCTCTCAACATGTTGGCTTCGACAGGGAATAATAGATTGATGCGATTCTTTCAGCCACTCAATCCGGTCGGGACGCCATAGACTGCTAGTTGTGGAACATGAATAGTCCTGCAGGGCATCACAATCCTCCAAATCCTCGTGCAACCATTCACCCCGGGAGATGTACTCACGGAGGCCGTCGTATCCATCATCGATATCTATGTCTGCCAAGGATGTCCACTGATCGGAGGTTCGGAGAATACCCTTGACCTGACGCAAGCTGTTCAAGTGCCAAGACCAGTCATAGTCCGAGCCCCTGTCTACGTGTTCGATGACTGTCAGATTCCCCTCTGATAGGCAGCTCTCAATGATGCACACAGGCTCCAGAAAGGACAGCATGCAATCCATTTGATCTAAAGCTTCCCAGATTTGAGCGGGATCTGTGACGCCCAACTTACTCTCTGCTTCCTCTAAGATGTTCTGTGCCTTTTCCTTTGCTCGCATCATCTCTTTATAGCTGTGGATCCGTTTGCCCCACTGCAAGAGCTGTGGCGGGTTTATTCCGACTGTGGTCAGGAAAGCAGCAGCTGCAAACGCTGCTTCCTCCACCTGTCCAGCTTGACACAATGCTTCCAACTCTTCCAGCAGTGGTGCAATTTCTTCATCTCGCCAATCGTTGCGGCTCTTTTCTCCGACTTCCGATGGCTTTTCAAATTTTTCTGGTGACTCTGCAACTGTAGCTTCCAGCCGACTCTCAAATGATGCAACTTTCCCACCTTTAGCAGCTCCCGACAGCTTTTCAGCCGAACCTTCTTTGGCAGCTTTTGATGAATTTGCATCGATGCTGCCTTGGGCAGCATCCCACAAGCTGGAGCCTGACTCTGCAGAGTGACCTAGACCCTTGCCTTTACGCAGCTCCTGCCTTTGCGGTCTTGGAGACTTCTCACTGATATTGGTCTCTCGACTAGCCCCAGTGCTTCTGGGACTCGTCTTCGTGCCTCACAACCAAGAGGAAAGACCAGTCTCATTTAGCTAGAATGGTCTGCCTCAAGGACATCACTTGCATGTGGTGGCACTTTAATACTGCCACACCTGTCCCCATTCCCTGCCACATCCTACAGCACCCGTTGTGGCGGTGGCGCATGATGATCATCATCGTCGTTGTCACAATCATCGTCATCAGTCATGCAATCATAGTCATAGTTGTCATCATCATCATCATCATCATCACCATCATCATCACCATCATCATCACCATCATCATCACCACCATCATCCCCAATCCTTAATCACATGTCATCATCATCATCATCATCCCCAATCATTAATTTTAAAAAACCAAGCGCCACTTTTCAATCATCAACCTTCATGCATCCATCAAAATAATCGCCGTCATCCATCAACATCATCGCCATCATCCACCAACAACATCGCCATCATCCATCAACAACATCAACAACATCATCCATCATCCATCATCCTCATCCTCATCATCCTCATCATCATCATCAACAACAACAACATCCTCATCCTCATCCTCATCCTCATCATCCTCATCATCATCATCATCATCAACAACAACAACAACATCCTCATCCTCATCCTCATCATCATCATCATCATGGTAATCACTATGGGCATCACTATGGTCCTCAGTGTGGGCATCACCATTCTCATCATCATCATCATCATTATCATCATGATCATCGTCATGATCATGCTCATGATAATGGTCATGATGATCATCATCATCATGATCATCATCATGATCATCATGATCATCATGACCATCATGATCATCATCATCATCATCGTCATGGTCATCATCATGGTCATCATCATGGTCATCACCATGGTCATCATCATGGTCATCATCATGGTCATCATCGTCATTCACCGTCATTCTCATCGTCATCCTTGTGGTCGTCATCGTCATCATCATCATCATCATCGTCAGCATCGTCATCATCATCATCATCATCTTCTTCTTCTTCTTCTTCATGATGATGATAAAACCATATCCCTGCAACACCCACCACCAGCGACAACACCACCTGAAAGCGATGTACAATAATTGTACGTCTATATATGTTTCTGTATATCATCATCATCACCATCACCATCACCATCACCATCGTCATCGTCATCGTCATCGCCATCGTCATCGTCGTCGTCGTCATCATCCTCATCCTCATCATCATCATCATCATCATCGTCATCATCATCATCATCATCCAAAATACCTATAGCCTAGAGCTGTTGTTGCAGTCCAGCACGCTCCAGAACGCTCCCGCCCACGGGTTTAAACAAACAAGGTACCATTTGTCACTTGGTCCCAGTTGGCCCTTCTCATCGCTGGCGCTGATGAGCCATAAATTCCTTTAGTCTTGTGCTTCGGATCTGTCTTCAAATGATCCTGGCGTGATGCAACTTTTGAACAAATGCATTGGGAACGAGGTGGGATGAAAATGGATGAAGGACGGGCTGCGGTTACCTTGACAACAGTTGAAACATGTTGATTGAAACGGCTCATAGGCTGATAGCCGTCCTTGGCTCCACTGGCTGCACTTTCTGCTGCTCTATTTGCGCGTCGAGCCTCAGATAATATGGGCGCGTAGCGTGAAGATATGATATGAAGGCACATGGGTGCACAATCAACAACAAACTAAGTTCCTGACTGAACTGGGCAATCCAATAGCAGATCTTATCGAATCTGCAAACGCAAAATTCTCTATTGCGACCCTTTGAGGGTGCTTTGGCGATTGCTTCTCACTGTCTTCAAAGCCTTCAGGCGTCATGTCCTGACTCTCCAATGAATTCGAGTGTCTTGCAGATAGATGGGGAGATTTTTGTCCCAGGCTGCCTCCAGCAGCTGGTCTTTCCTGCAGGAGTGGCAGTCCACCCTTGAGGTGACTGCCCACCTTTCGTTGGTCGGGGCTGGGTGTTATGGGTATGGTTGGAGACATAGATGACATAGATGGCATAGATGGCACGCATGGCATAGATACATTGGAGGGATGGGGTGATACTGATGACACGGGCGAGAATGGTGAAGCTTCAGCTCTGGAGCTCTGTGGCGTGTTTGCCGCTCGAGGATGTTGGCCAGGTTGCAGGGGCCAAGGTGCCCAAGGATCGTGATGGCCATGCGCAACTGCTCCCCCCTGGAAATGCTCTGAGCCCTTGGAACTGCCGATGGCAATGTCGGGCATGGTCTTGACCCGTGGTGCATGGGGCTTTGATCCATCCAAACGATTGATGGACAGCGATGCTGCGCCATCACTGAGTGGTGGCAAGGGACCCTGCCCGCGCACTTCCCTCAAGTGCATCTCCAACATCAAGGCACGCACCATCTGCTTCTTGGCAGCAAGCGCGGCTCGATCCATTGGCTTTGCACCGGTGCTCCCACCGTACCCACCACCTTTATCACCTTTGTCACCTTTGTCACCTTTGCTGGCCGCACGGAATGCACGTGGGGACATTGACCACGAAAAATCGAAAGAATCGTCCTCCAGAGTCTCCAGAGTATAGCTGGCCTTGATTGTGGCCCCTATCTTGCGCCGGTGAGGCATCAAAGGCTTGGAACCTGCTCTTGCCTCATTGATCCCGTCGTCAAAATCTGGGGCTTCCTGCCCAGGAAGCCCCACACCGAGCGTGAGCAACTCCCTCTTTGCTGTAGCTTTGACCTCTGCGCTTGTTGTGAGAAAATTATGCTCGCTATCCTCCAGTTTATGCAGAATCCGAGTGGATGGGCTGAGAAGTTCATCATCGTCTGTTAGAATTCTTGTTTTTGTGTGATTGCGCTTGGGGCTGTCCTTGTTGGGAGATTCGAACAGAACCACCATGCTTGCCTTTTTGATTGCCCTCTTGAAGGCCTGACGCAGAACCTCTTTGTTGCGCCTTGGTGTATTTTCCCCCAATCTGTTCAGGACCATCGCAGCCCGACCAGCTCGATGAAATCTGCTCTTCAGACCCTTTGCATCACAAAGAGCTGCCAGCTCTGCAAGGCTGGCATCAACATCCTGCAGGCATGCATCGTCAATAACCTCCACGGTTTGCCGCACATGCTCCAGCTTGTCGAGCACACCTCTGGTGAAACTGGTGAGACAAGGAAGCCAAGAGAATGGAAACGCAACTTTTTAGAAAGAATGAGCAAGAAAAGGAGTGATGGGACTTCATATCACCTCGAGACCGCAAGAATTGAAGACACAGCGAATGGAATACATGGAATACACAAAACATCCCACAACATTCCCAGAGCCATCCCTTGGAGGGTACAGTAAATAATAGTAAATATATATTTATATATGTAATAGCCAGGCATTTTGCGTCCTGAGGCCAATCCTACGCAAAATCTCCAAAAAAAACTTGCACGGTTGACGTCCACGACACTTTGTGCGGCATCAATGGCTTGGACCTGGTCCCTTGCGTTCAGAGACTTTCGCATGCTTCGAAGTTTCTCACAGAATTGTTTGGCCTCTCCATAGCGTACTGCAACTCGCTCCTCCAAGTCGTTCATGGCCTATGGCCAATTGATGCCAACTATATTGAGTTGAGTTTGATGATTCACATGATGGGACATTTGGGGCCTTTGGTTTTTTGAGATGTTTTGATGATACGGATGGACTATGTAGGTAAGCCTTGTGGCAGCCCTACAGTATGGACTGATCACTGAGCCCATGACCAGTAAATTCGCAAACTTCTCATGCAGCGACTCTTCTCGCCCCACTTGTTTCGTGACAGCCATCTTCTTGACGGCACTGGTTGCAATCTTTGCACGCTGTGTGGCCTTCACACCATGATAAATCGCCGATGAAGCTCTGCTCCAGCGCCGTGACGCAGCTGGCATCAAGGTGCCTTTACCTGGATGGAGATGGTGACCATGATCTGAGCCGTGAGGACTGTGGGTGAGCAGCGCAAGTTTCTTCCTCGCTTGGCTATAGATGTGGCGGCTGTTCGCCACAGGGTTTACTTCGGTCTCAAAGATTGCCGCCTCCGAGACCACATCGTCTTTCACCTTGTCAGAGCTCGCTTTGCTCGAGATCACATTGACTCGAATCATGGCAAGATGCCTCCCATCGACCCAAAAAGGATTTGGCCCAAAAAGATTTCAAAAAGTTATTTACAGATTGGCTTGGCCAATATGGCTGCGTCCGGCTGCGTCATCAGAAATAGTGCCCGGCAGACATCAGCTTCAGTTGGTGTTTTTGTGTCCGTGCTAGCTGCCCGGGCCGAAGTGAAGATCCCGGTTCAAATGAGACCAATGCAGGCACGCTCTTTTTCTCGAGGCCGGGCAAGTGCACAGCTTTGCCTGCTGTAAGGTAGAACACTTCAAGGGTATGGCAAAAGCAGAATATGACAGAATGAATTGACAATTTGCATTGGAAGATGCCTCTTCTTATCCTTGCCTGTGCTTTTCCGATTGTTTCCACACCATGCGGCGGCCTCATGCAGGGAATTATGTGGCGCTGTGGATATTGGGGATTTGCAACATGTCCACAGCGAAACTCATGACCACTGGCAAAACTTGGCAGCAAAGCGTCTCTGTGGACTGGCATAACGCTGCACATCACTGCGCCTCGCCAAAGCTTCTTGCCCAATACCCTGGCAGTATCTGGACTAAACTTCCGTCAATGAAATGCAAGCCACGATAAGCCACGTGTCTTGTCTTCATGGCGATGGCCTCCGCGATAAACGATGTGCCGCAGCTTCTGTGGCTCGAAAGAGGCTTTCATAGTCAGAACGCCTTGAAGCAGAATAGCTGGATACTGTAGCTGATATGCAAACTAATTACAAAATCACCTTTGGAAATCTGCCACGTGGTATCGGCAAAGCTCTTCTGTGGCCTGATGGCATCTAAGTCTGATACCCCAGAAGCAGCAAATCGGTGACTGCTGCGCGAAGTAAGCCAGCATCGTCCTGGAAGAGTGTGGGGCAGGATGCTAATTTCTAGCAAGCGTGCTTGAGCCGATTTGCGCACAAATACAGTAATAAACATATATAATACATAATAATTCTTCATATTATTATTGTTATTATCATTATTATTTCTTTTTTATCATTATTAGATATGTGTGTGCGTTTACATACATACATTTCATTACATTACATTTTATTACATTACATTACATTACATCACATCACATTACATTACATACCATACATACATAACATACATACATAACATACATACATAACAAACAAACATACATACATACATACATACACATACATACACATACATTTACATATACGTACATACGTACACATGTACACACGTACATACGCGCATACGTAGATACGTACATACGTACATACGTGCATACGTACATACGTACATACATACATACTTACACATACATACATACACATACATACACATACATACACATACATACACATACATACACATACACACACGTACATACACATACATACACATACACACACACAGACATGCAGACAGACAGACAGACAGACAAACAGACAGACAGACAGACAAACAAACAAACAGACATACATACATACACACACATACACACACATACATACACATACATACACATACATACACATACATACACATACATACACATACATATACATATACGTATTCGTATACATGTACATATACATATTCATATACATAAACATACACATACATACACATACATATACATATACGTATACGTATACATGTGCATAAACATACATATACATACATACATATACATACATATACATACATATACATACATATACATACATATACATACATATACATACATATACATACATATACATACATGTACATACATATACATACATATACATACATATACATACATATACATACATACATACATACATATACATACATATACATACATATACATACATATACATACATATACATACATATACATACATATACATACATATACATACATATACATACATATGCATACATATACATACATGTACATATTTACACTTACATACACATACATATACATACATACATACATACACATACATACACATACATATACATATACGTATACGTATACATATACAGACATATACATACATATACATACATATACATACATATACATACATATACATACATATACATACATATACATACATATACATACATATACATACATATACATATATATACATACATGTACATATTTACACATACATGCATACATAACATACCATACCAAAACATTACATTACACCACATTACATCACATTACATTGCATTACATTAAATTACGTTACATTACATTACGTTACGTTACATTGCATTAGTTTTCATACATACATTACATTACATTACATTACGTTACGTTACATTACATTACATTACATACATACACATACATACACATACATACACATACATACACGTACATACACATACATACACATACATACATATACATACATATACATACATATACATACATATACATACATATACATACATACATACTTACCATACCATTACATTACACTACACTACATTACAGTACAGTACATTACATACATACATTACATACATACATTATACATATACTTACATATACATACACATACATACACATACATATACATACATATACATACATATACATACATATACATACATATACATACATAACATGCATATACATACATATACATGTACATATACATATTCAAATACATATACATATACATATACAAACATATACATACATATACATACATGTACATATTTTCACATGCATACACATACATACATACATACATACATACACATACATATACATACATATACATACACATACATACACATACATACACATACATACATACATATACATGCATATACATGCATATACATACATATACATACATATACATACATATA